TTTTGGAAAATGGGCGTGGCACCGCCCACTTATGATCACATATAAGTATATCGGAAACCGTTCTACCAATTTGTACCAAACTCGGTGTGGTTATTGTGCTTGCCACATATAAGCAAAACGTTGAAAATTATTGAAATCGGACTAAAATAACGGCCGCTTCCCATATAACGGTAAAATTCAGAAATGCTTCAAACTTCAATATTTCGAAATTGAAGGACGCTAATTTACTCAAAATTGATACACCCCGGCTTACCATCTAGCGGAAGGTTTCGGAAAGGTGAAAAAACATATATTTAATACTTGCGCCGGGTATTTAATGTTCGGCTCCGCCCGAACTTAGACTTTCTTACTTGTTTTTTTTATTATTTTTTTTTTCATTATAACGATTACCCATTTTAATTCGTTCACTTACATTTGATCATTTATATTTATATTTTTGTTTTGTTCTATTTCTGTTCCACTGGATTTTACTTGATCGGTATATTTCCGATAAAAAATGTCCGATACTCGGAATACAGATCATCAAATTTCCGATAGAATTCCGATTCGAAATGGATCGAAATGTAGAACAAGGCGGAGTCGGAAATAATATCCGATTGTCGGAATGCAGAACACCAACAATAGGAAATAAATCCGATTCCGATTCGAATCGGATTGCAGAACAGGGCTGCTAAAGTTGCAGGAGTTATGCAAAAAAAAATCAATGATTAGCTCCTAAACCACTAATCTGGTTGGAAATTATAGTTAATAGGAAATTCAATAAGTTTCGCTACTGTAAATGGAAATTCGAGATTGGCCTGTAATATGAAAAACAAACTGCAATTAAATTTGGCTACATCTCAAAAACTATTTTATGTAGCCTCTTATATTCTAACTACATATTTGGATTAAGATGGTCAAGAGCCACAGGTAGGATTTTTTGTAAGCTATAGCAATTATTAAATACATAAATAGTTNCCTCTTATATTCTAACTACATATTTGGATTAAGATGGTCAAGAGCCACAGTTAGGATTTTTTGTAAGCTATAGCAATTATTAAATACATAAATAGTTTTCTCTAATTACTTTTAATTCTCTAATTACTTTTAATTCACACCGCTTTCATCACTTCCAGTGGTACTAACTATTTTTATTTCATACAGTATTATTTGTTTAAACAGGATCATAATCAGTTGTGGAGTAAGCCTCACAAGTAGAGTGGAAATCGTGCATATTATGGTGAACACAACTTTTTGAATCGCTATGTCTCAGAAATGATAATACTTGGGGCATAAATGTCATAACACTTTTTACAGATAATTGTATGGTCTACACTTTTATCTCACCCATTTTTATGATTAACCTTATCGTTTGGTTGAAAAATGCGAAAAAGCAATTTATGTGACCTTTGGCCCTTGATTAACTGTTTTCTCAGCTTTATGCGAATTATTGCAATCTTGAATGTTTAGCTTGACTGTATATGTATATAACGGGTACGTGCATAAATGTATGTAAATTTAAAAAGTGCTCCTACTGAAAAATTTTAAATTTGTCAAATAAGGTCTATGGAAGGTGACGCTATGTAGTTCGTGCCTGGCTATCATAATTAGAAGATTTATGTCCGGTCGATAACTATTATATTCTATGTTTAAGGTATAAGTATGTGTATGTGTTTTACAACGAAATGAATGTAAAACACAACTTGGTTTCTAAAAAGCACATTACTGGTCTCTTAAAGTATTTTATTTATATTTTATTCAAATGATTTGGTATTAATTATTACAATCGAAAACTGTTATGCCATACTTCGCCACTCACGATGCACTTACATGTGTTTGTATGTGTGTTGATATTGATTTGAAATTCATGTTTAAGTATTTTACAGTCAGCAAATCACAAAATTCGGCGCAAAACTGTTTTTTGAAGTTCTTGTATATTTTGGAAAAACAAACTTACTTAATTACAAAGAAAAATTTTAGTAAATTTACATAATTTATAAAACACATGAATCGTTACACTTTTCAGCAAATTCATGTTAAATAAGTTTTAAAATTCTGCGAAAATGGCCGTGCAACTGTGAGTTTCGACAAAGTTGTCTTAAATCAATCTATTTCGCCTTTACCATTTTAAAAACAACATTTATGGTAATCTAAATTAATAGCTTCCATATATGTATACACTTAATTTTCTATGTATAAGTATATGGTATAAGCACTATGTTAGAATATGTTTACGTTCAAAATAGGTTATAAATGTCTATGCTAGGCATATTTAATTATAATTATAACATTTGCATACATTTAAATATTAATTAGGATATATAACGGAAAAAACATTACCAAATTGTGTAAAGTGAAATTAAATTTAACTTTAAGGAAATTAAATTGAACTAAAAAGGATCCAAATTACAAAAGGATTTTAACAGCTTTTTCCAAAGTCGGAGTTACTCGATAGTCACTTCATTCTGCGATATTGAAGTAGTTTTTTGCTCGCTATTCAAATACAGTCAATACAGTTACAAGAGTGATTTGTATGAATGAAGCATGTGTCTCGATCAATGACCCGCTCAAATCAAACTAAAAATAATAATAAAATTAACGTTGCATACAAATAAAAAATTTAGGAGTAAGAAGGAAGAATAATCTTAATAATATTAGACAAAGTAAGACAATACCATATAAATATGTTGCACAGGACACTGCACGACAATAAACATCAACGATTTAGAGCCAAACCAAGTACTGATTCACCGAAAACCTTATGGGTTTATCGTTGAAAGGCAAATTAGTAGGATTTTAAATCGTTAATGTGGCTAAGAACAACAATTATTTTTATTAAAAACTAAGCAAACGCAAACAACAAATGTGTCAAGATAATATAATATTAAAATGTATAAGACTTGACGCGCGCAAATTATTAAATATTTGAAGAAATCCAAAACGTACAATTGGATTTATTATTTTTGTATAAATAGTATTGCGGTGGTGAATAATATTTGTTGCATGGGTTGTTTGTGTGTTTGTTATGTATGATTGAATTTATGTTACAAAAAGAAATTAAAAAGGACTGATCGAATTTAATTTTAATGAAATTTAAATTTTGTAGCTGCTTTGAATTTTTCATTTTTATAATTCAGTTATTGTAGTGGTACTTTAGTTGAATTTACTCAATAGTTATAATTTGCGGTGGTTTTNAAATTTAAATTTTGTAGCTGCTTTGAATTTTTCATTTTTATAATTCAGTTTTTGTAGTGGTACTTTAGTTGAATTTACTCAATAGTTATAATTTGCGGTGGTTTAGCTACGCTTGCTGTTGTTATCGTAGACGCAACTGCCAAAGGTGCAGTTGATAGTATGGATGATGTTGCCGCTGAGGCAATCGTTGTTGTCGCTGCTGTAGCTACAGTTGATGTTGTAGTTGCTGTTCTTTGCTCATGGATCGACGTAATACCCGTTGTCGATTGGCTGTCGTTTGTTTTTTGCAGTGTCTGTGCGGCTAATTGTCACTTTGTCGTTGGGGGTGACTCACCAACACGCTGATAGCGCGGCTTGTTGCGGGTGAATGGCAAATACTTGTACTTAATCATATGCTGCAAACAAAAACCAACAACAAAAAAATTAGTTTAAATTTAACAATCAACGATTTTACGAGTGACTTTACCTTAATTTGTCGCTTCATCGTTATGCAAAAGAGTGTAATGAAATACATCACAAGGATGGGCCAGAAAACGGGCACATTGAAAAAGTCAAAGAATGTACATATCAGACCAATGATTGTACTTTTCGTGATTGACAACCAGAATTTGAATTCCGGCAGTCTTCGAATGAACGGCCGAAACTCTTCGTTACTACGTGTTGGCAAATTTGGTCCATCCTCTACAACAAACAGAGAAATGAAAAAGGATATCAAAACTATTTCAAAATATTAATTATTGTAATATTGTAATAACGAGCTAATTAAGCAATCTATGTGCGTACATATGTACGTTAGGGTGGTCCTTAAAAAAACAAATTAACGATTTTTTTCAGTATTAAAAATAATTTTTTATTCATTTAATATCCAAAATCGATGCTAATAAAGTCCAGGATATCACATATAAATTTTGGGTGCGATTGGAGTCGGTTAAGACGTCTTCATAGGGTAATCTAAACTTTGACCCCCTGTACGACATGCCTTAACCGACTTCATTCAGGACCAAAATTTATGTGATATCTTCGACTATGGTAAAAACGATTTTGGGTATTATATGAAAAAAAAATTACTAATTTAAATTTTTTTAGTCTCTAAAGAGGAATCTGAATCCAAAATTTAGATGTGATATCTTTGTCTATAGTAGGAAATATGACGTAAAAATTTGAATATATATATATATATATATACAAGTATATTTCGGGGCGTCGTTTTATGAGTCGATTGTGGATATCAACGCAACCTCATTTAGGTTAAAAATGAAAATGTATATTCACGCAGGTTCTGAAATTCACTTCCGGGTGAATTTCATTCAAACTCCCTTTGACTTCAACTCAGAATATATGTACATAAATATAGAAGTAGTCTAAGCAAAAGCAACTTTAAGCAATCTATTTACGCACATTTGAAGAAATAATATTTTGAATGGACTGGCCATCTATCTTTACCTATCAATCGTTATCAACATTCTTAATTTATTTTCTATCTTTGTATGTTTTTATTTCTTATCGTATTCCTTAGTACTCTTAATCTTTATTGTTTAGGGATTATAATTATAATGTTAGTTTATTTATTTGTCCTTGTTTTTATTCTTAAGTTTGCAAATGTATGTATGTATGCTTTTCTCTTTGTCTATATTTATATCAGCAATTTGTTGTATACTATAAAAGATTATATCTTATTGTACTAATGGTTATACATTTAATAAATGAAATAAATATATTTGGATTTAGAGATCATGCTAGCAAAATTTTACAAAATATTTCGGAACGTCGTGGGTAGATTCGGGATATCAATGCAACCTCATTTGGGTTGCTACTTAAATGAAAGTTTATATTCAGGCAGGTTTTGCAATTCACTTCCGAGTTCCGAGTGAGTTTCAATCAAGCTTGCTTTGACTCAAATTGGCAGGGGTTAGCCACTATAGTGATATAAAGTTGAGGATACAAGATTTTTGAAGTACCCGCAGCAAGACTAAATAAATAAATTTTCTCCATCAAAATTTCCGCGGCAACCACAAAAATGCAGTTGCCAATATAGCACCTCAGTTGCCAGATGCATAAAAAGTGATATGTATAAATAAAATATTTTTGGAGGCTGTTACGCCCTATTTACTAATATTTATAACTTTCCGCTTTTAATAGGAGTATTCCCGAAATCTTGCAAAGTCCTTGCACCTGGGCCACGCTGGAGAAGTGAAACTTACATTATATATGTATCTATTTTGTCTCATAACCAATATACATACATACATATGTACCAGAGTTGTTGCGAATATTTTTCCGAAATAAAAGTCCTTTCCGCATAATAAACAAACCGCCTGTCCAAATTAAACAATTTTGTTATCATATGAAAGAGGACTGAAATAGCTTTTAAACAGAAATAGCGAACGATGTCTATTTATATTTTTTTTATGTTAATACTAAAGAAATTCATATACCTGACACAAGATTTGTTTTATGGTAATTAATTAACTTTCTTTATTGAAATATTTCTCAATACGTGGTTTTCTTCGTTTAGACATCCTCTTTCATTTGATACCAAACTTGTTTAATTTGGATAAGCGGTTTGTTTATTATCCGGAAAGGACTTTTATTTCGGAA